GGTCTCTAAATGTCTCAAACACATCAGCCAGTAGCAATACATCTGTTTTAAGATATAAATCATGATATTCTTGTAAATTATTTATAATAAAATGGGTCCATACATTTTTAGCATGTTCATATTCATTGGGAGGGATATGTTCTTTAGTTATAGAACTGTAAAATGTTTCAATTGGGGGTAGAGACTCTGCGAACTTATCTGGTCCCGTCATATATTCATAGGGATATACACCTTTACGTTGTAGTAGTGGATTTTGTATGAATCTAAATGTGTTCAAATTGGAAGCCAATTTATATAATGGAAGGGACAGAAAGTTGTATGAATCTAAAAATACTAAATCATCAACAGAGAATGATATATATTTTTCCATATCTTTAGCTATACAATTTAATTTATGTTTATTAAACTTTCCCAAATGTTGCATTATTAAATGTCCATCGTAATTTTTCAAGTTATGGAAGAATACTAGGATTTTCTTTGTTACTTTATAGTTTAAATTACAATCATTGTGGGCAGCTCCACGGTATCGGCCAGATGAATGGCAATGATCTCTCACCCTATCAAAATATAGGGGCTTTTCACAAATATGACAATGTGTTGAGTTTTGGAAAGATACCTCTTGCTCTGGAGTCATTACAAGGGGAATATATATCGACATTTGACTTTTAATGAAATCATAAGTCTCAAATAATCTTTCAAAAAATACATCCATAACATTTGTGCCACTATATAACTCTTCAGAAATAATTTTTGAATCTTTTACTACAACAAATGCAAAACCTGATGGAATATGTATATTGGAGTTTATAAAGCATTCAAAATCTGCATAAATCACAAATGGGGCTTTAAGTTGATATTTATAATTTTTAAATTGTAATGTATCTTGTTTAGACATTTCCACTCGTTGGGCATCAAAGTTTTTACAATATGTTATATGACGCTCAAATTTATCATTAGTGTAAAAATGTTGTAAACACAACTTACAAAAATGCTTCTTATGGTCGTGTTTTGTAGACCGCAGCATTAACCTATTAAAATCACGAATTAAACAGTAATGTGATTTACGACCTTCTTGTAATAATAATAAATCTACGTGAGTATTACTATTTAATTTGCTTGTTCTTAATGGATATACATTTCTCATCTTCAACCCCAAATACATTAACACTTATATTAATTTGTCTTTCAAATTTATCTATATCGGATATTTTCACAGGATACTTCATGTTTGTCATATTCAACTGACCTTCGTATGGTACATAATTAGAGACTCTATTAGCATTTTCATCTTTAGCATTCCTTGGATATAAAGCTGCTAATATCGACCAAAGGAAGCATTTATTATCAGAATTTTTTATATTTAAAACTGCATGTTTCGATTGAATAGTTTTTGGTGTGGGGATATATGACTTTGGAGTTAAGGGCTTATACTTGTAAACGTGCAACTGCCAATACTTAGTATGGTCATATATCCATCCACTACCTTGGGCTTGGTATTTGTGTATGGAAGCATCAATCTTTAAAAGTGCATTTTCAATTTGGTGTATTAAACCTCTTTTCTCAATAGTTAAGGTAGTAAGGCTTCTAAAATCTGCAATACATTCTTTTTCATTAACTAATTGCCCATTTTGATCCATTGAATATTTTATAAATTTAATTCTCCTTACTAAAGTCCATTTTATCGGAAGAGGACAAGACTGAAGAGTATTTTTTTTACAACATTTTTTTTTACAAAAATTACAAGTCTTGTGATTTTGTAATAAATGCGATATTAGAGCCATGTTATTATCACAGATTAAATTACAAACTTTGCACAGTTTCACCATCATTTGGTGTTTCAACTTGTAGTGCCGAATCAAGTTACTTTTGGTGGAGAACGACACGGAGCACTGTTGACATGACGGTTTCATGTTTAAGAATGAGGTCTCAGGCTGATGCCACCTCTATATATAGACTTTTGGAAAATTTAAAAATTTTAATCCAGAAATTGTGAAATTTTCAAAATTTTTAACTAGAATTTAAGATATTTTTAACAATATTTAACATAAAATTAGAAATTTTAGAAATGTTAATTCATAAAATTTAATTTTAGAAATTTTAATTTGGAAAAACTAATTTTAGAAGTTTTAATTTAGAAAAATTAATTTTAGAAGTTTTAACTTATAAAATTTTATTTTAGAAATTTTAATTTAGAAAATTGTATTATGAAATTTTAATTTATAAAATTTAATTTTAGAAGTTTTAATTTATAAAACCTAATTTTACAAATTTTAATTTATAAAATTTAATTTTAGAAATTTTAATTTATAAAATTTAATTTTAGAAATTTTAATTTTGAACATTTAATTTTACAAATTTTTATTAATAAAATTTAATTTTTAAAATTTTAATTTAGAAAATTTTATTTTGAAATATTAATTTACAAAATTTATTTTACAAATTTTAATTTATAAAATTTAATTTGACAAATTTTAAGTTATAAAATTTAATTTGACAAATTTTAATTTATAAAATTTAATTTGACAAATTTTAATTTATAAAATTTAATTTGACAAATTTTAATTTATAAAATTTAATTTGACAAATTTTAATTTATAAAATTTAATTGTAAAAATTTTAATTTATAAAATTTAATTGTAAAATTTTTTATTTATAAAATTTAATTTTACGAATTTTAATTTATAAAATTTAATTTTGGAAAATTAATTTTGAAAATATAATTTTGAAAATGTAATTTTAAAAATCTAATTTTGAAAAATTAAATTTAGAAAATTAAATTTAACAATTTAAATTTATATATTTATAAGTTAAGAATTTTAGAAATTTATAATTAAGAATTTTATAAATTTTATAATTTAAAATAAAATATTAAAAATGTTAATACAAATTAAACTATTGTTTACATGCTAAACTTACCAAGAGATGGTCATGGTGGGTGGGCCGCGCGACGATGACTGAAGAAAGGAACCACTCAACTCGCTCCTTTTATACTTATACACATCGTCTAATTTGTAAAATTGGCTAGATCTGGGTTTATACGGCCAGATCTGGACTTTGCCATATCTGGCCTGATATAGCCAGATCTGGGTATATAGGGTCAGATCTGGAATTATATATGGCCAGATCTGGGTATATAGGGCCAGATCTGGAATTATATATGGCAGATCTGGGTATATAGGGCCAGATCTGGAATTATATATGGCCAGATCTGGGTTTATAAAGCCAGATCTGGGTATATAGGGCCAGATCTGGAATTATATATGGCCAGATCTGGGTATATAGGGCCAGATCTGGGTATATAGGGCCAGATCTGGGTATATAGGGCCAGATCTGGGTATATAGGGCCAGATCTGGAATTATATATGGCCAGATCTGGGTATATAGGGCCAGATCTGGAATTATATATGGCCAGATCTGGGTATATAGGGCCAGATTTGGAATTATATATGGCCAGATCTGGGTTTATAGGGCCAGATTTGGAATTATATATGGACAGATCTGGCTTGATATAAGCAGATATGGGTTTATAGGGCCAGATCTGGAATTGTATATGGATAGATCTGGCTTGATAATAACCAGATCTGGGTTTATAGGGCCATCTGGAATCATATATGGACAGATCTGGCTTGATATAACCAGATCTGGGTTTATAGGGCCAGATATGGGTTTATATAATCAAATCTGAAACTTAAATGGGTAGGCATTATTTTTGATATATGTCTTATTATTTTAAAGATATAAGCGATTTTTTTATATTTCTCGATACATATACCCAATTTTTGCACCACATGAGCTGCCAATGGGGAAGAGAAGCATGAGCCGGGAGCGCGTCCGAGTTCGCGTACAAACCTCACTCGATTTTGAGAATATACATGTGAATAGATGCGGATTTAAAATAGTAATGAAGTTGCACAATGGTATTGAACATTTATATAGGGGTGTACAGGCAAAGATCAGGATTTTTGAAAAAGTGGCTAAAAAATGATCCCCATGTTATTCTTATGGGGAAAAACGCCCCAAGTGACGACTCTTTGCCCTATTGTCACTACTCACATCGAAAAGCCATTAAAGCAATTTATAAGAAGCAATTTATAAAAAAAAATACCTAAACACTAATGAACTTATTTTATTGAATAGTTAATGGTGAGATTAGGTAAAATATAATTTAAATTAGGGGAAACCTATTTTAAGGATGAGGTTAATTCTCGAATATCGAAGCTTTTTAGGTTGATGGTTTATAATACAAAGTTACAAGAAAAAGCTTTAAAAATCTAGATAAACGTTACTTTTAGAGAATTTCCCATATCGGGAATTAGCTATTGCCGTACTCATGGTAAAACCTGGACCCAGGACCGATTTCCCTTCTCGTTTTGAGGTCCCTTGAGCCCAAAAAACCATCGAATTCATATATAAAAAATGACCCAAAATTTGGTACACATGCTTAAACCTACATTTTATTCTAACGAGTTCGCAAACCAGCATGATCACAATCAGTATGATCAGTATGGGAACAATGGGTTCATGAGGTAGAAATGAGAAAAATGAGGTAAAAATTGGCTTTTCCTAATTTTGAACCTAAAACTAAAATTTTTAATTTCTTTCTAAACCATTTTGTAGAGCTAAAAAAACAAATAATTTAGTATATTGAAACGTTGTTATGTGCCTAATAGTTATGGAAAAAATTACAAATAATTGAAAAGTTGAAATTCGCTTATTATTCTTGTGGAAAATAAATAAACTGTTGTAGTATGCTTGTTTATGAACATATTTTAATCAAATTTAAAAAATGTATTTATTTAATTTTTAACTATTAACATAAAAAAGAACTTCTACCCTCCCTGTTGAAGCAAACCTAAGTACGGTACTTGTTAAACTAATGCTATTTAAAAAGGGAATAAATGTGATATTTGTAAGGAGATATTCTAGTGTAAATCCAATCAGGCAAATGGAAATTCCCCCTAGTCTGCAGGTTCTGTAGTGGGGATATTTAACATCCTTACCACTAGCTTGGAAGTATCCTGTATACATCGAACCAAGATAGACCAACACCATAGCATGACCATATATCTGAAAACATACGATGTAAATGTAGTAAAAGTTTTTGTAAGGTGAGTAAAGGCAATTTATTTGCTACGTATCAGACTGCTATCTGTAAAAGACAAAGGTCTCGCTGACTGACTCACTCACTCACTCATCACTAATGACAATTCTCCAACTTCTCATTTACCTAGGACACTTAACATTTTTACCCTATTTCATTAGGCATTTAACAAGAAAACTAGGTTAAGTAGTTTTTATTCAGATTTTACTTTCGGGCTCTACCCTTGTGGCTCAAGAATTCCATGTTAACCTTATGAGCATTCATATTTTAAAAGGAATTAATTATTTTTTACATTTGTTTCAAACTAAACAAATTGGTTCTATGATGTCCATTAGATATATATATTCTATATAATACATATGTATCCATACCCTTATAAAATTGAAGTCGTGTCTGTCCGTTTAGGTGGCTGTCATGACTAAAATACTAAACCAATACAGCCAAAATTAACCACAAAGATGGTCCATTATCTAGAAACGCCATAGGACTATTCACTACCTTGAGTTGCACTCGGGCTTGACTCCGTAGATGTTCAAAATTTTTTAGGCGAGGTTTTCAAAAGTAAATTAACTGGTCTCCATGGCAGAATGAGAAAACCAATAAAAAAAATTGCGTTTACATTTTGCTTTATTTAAGTGTAAACAAGAACAACTGCCAAAAGCTCATTTCACAATTTCAGCAGCTAGTCATAACCAATGAGTCAGGTATACAATTAGTATACTATTAGGAGATACAACAACTTTTTAAAGACAATTTTAGAACAACTATGTTAAGCTTTAAAATATTGCTTTGCTAGTACATTATTTGAATTACTATTTGTTATAATTTAACAGATTAGGAGACATAAAATGTTTGACCTCAACTTATATTTGTGATCTGCTTGACGAGTTACTTCTTAAAAAGGCCCATAAAGTTCTTAAGTTCGCAGAGTTGAAAGACATTTTGTGTTTGACAAAACTTGAGGGTGGATCTGACGAACAGAAGCTCCCAGTTCTACTACCAGACAATCTCACATACAAAATTGGAAAGTATAAAATATAAAAAAATTTGCTTTGGTAATTATAATGCAAAAGCTAAAGCAAAAGTTAATAAATATACCACTTACAATATCAAACCAACCGATGACAAAACAGCCTGTCCTTAACCGATATTGGAAGCAGAAATTTCTATCAACATTCACTTCCATCCTAAACAAATACATTTATATTTATTATATACAATAATATATTTTATCTTCAGAAATTGCATATTTTAAATGTTTGCTACTGTAAAGGCTTTTATTCGTTTGTAATGCATTTAATATTACTTACCCGATGTCATTTTAACTTCAGTGTATTTGACTGACTTTATTTCCATCAAACTAATTCCTTGATGTTTTGTTAAAGTCATTAGGTTTGTAAAGAAATAATAGAATTGTTGGCTTATTTATTATATAGACAGGATGTAGTCTATAGTAGTTGTATGTGGATTCTATCCTATAGGATTTCCATGTCTTTTGAATTTCGATACTTGTGGTGACTTTCCCATAGGTCTACTATCTTGGAAAAATCTTATTTGTACAAATATTCCTCGAAAGATTTTGCTCAGCATTCATTTTTAGCATGGTATCATTAACTTTACAGTAAACAAAGTTACAAAACCTGCAATTCCGTAAAAATAACTGTTTCGCGACTATTGAAATTTGTTTAAGTTTTCACCATAAACATTATGGTTACTTTACCAACTACCCATTAATTGTTCCTCTTTATAAAAGTAGTAAGATTACTTACTGGAATCACTTGAAATTCCAGACTAATGTGAGAAGGTATGTGTAGGTTTCTTTACATAGACTTTCCATTTAATTTGTCAACCTAGAAATTATTTTTGAAAACCCCATAGCAATATATCACCTTATTTTGATTTCTCATAAGAAATGTTTTACAAATCCTCTTAAGTGGATATAAAACGCACACCATTCAACACATAGCCTTAACTGACAAATATAACGATAATACGTTTTGCTTACTCAATTACCTTCACAGTTATGGATTTTATGAAGCAATAGTTGCAAAATAATGTAGTGTACTGTATTATTGATATCAATAAAAAAAGAGGTAACATGCCGTTCCATCTCTTAGAAATATGTCTGGTCTGGGAACTATTTAGGCCTAATTGTAAATTTGTATTGATTAATTTTTGGCTGTTTTGTTATTTTAAATTAACAATTTGCTTTTTTAATTTGCATTGGAATCACTTGTATTTATGTACCAATAGTCTCTAGTGCATCATACTACACGTAATTAATTATAAGTTTAAGCAAACAGTTTGTTTTAAGACGGATTTTGTAATGGTTTTAACAACAAAAATCTTAAAACTGTATAGTTTTAAATGCAGCTATGGATTTTAAATTGAAATCTACAGTGTTAATTGAAACAAGCTAAGTAAAAATAAGGTTTCATTTTGAGATTTTAAAGAATTTTTCATGGTTAACTTCTTCTTTCTGGCTGTTAAAAAAATATTTCATTTATAAAGTAATTTAACTCTTGTTTCGACCTGTTAGTGTTTTCATAACATAATTTCCCAAATTTTATTTTAGTCAGTATATGTTTAGTAACTATTAAAAGTACAAACCAATAAAATCTAACTGTATTAATTATACCCCTACCTATACAGGGTGATCAACTAAAGGAGGCCACCATTGGGATATCGGAAACGGTGAGAATTAGAGAAAACTTTAAATGGGGGACATTCCTTTATTTTTTGTGGCAGTTAAAAATATGATTTTAGTTTTTCAAAATTCAGTTGCCATTTTCCAAAATGGCGGCCAAATTTGAAATTTCTAATGGAATACCCTATATTTTATCATGTTTTCGGATAGAACATACAGTTTAAAACCTTTTTTATTCTAGAAATTTTTTCGATAAACCCACCCGTTTAGGAGTTACGGCATATGGAAAAATGACTTCCGGTGTACATTTTACATTATGTAGCTCCAAAAAAGTAGGTTTATAGCGAAAATGCGAAGAGAAAATAAGTCAAGTAAGTCTTAAAATTGCATCCACATTCCAAAAAGTCCATAAATTTCGTTAAAAATATTAATTTTATTATTTAAAAATGGCGGCCATTTTCCAAAATGGCGGCCATTTTCCAAAATGGCGACAAACTTGAAAAGTGGAAATGGTGTATTTTATGGTCTTAATGGAATGTGGATGCAATTTTAAGACTTATTTGACTTATTTACTCTTCGCATTTTCGCTATAAACCTACTTTTTTTGGAGCTACATGATGTAAAATGTACACCGGAAGTCATTTTTCCATAGGCCGTAACTCCTAAACGAGTGGTTTATCGAAAAAATGTCAAGAATAAAAAAGTTTTTAAATTGTATGTTCTATCCGAAAACTTGATAAAAAATAGGGTATTCCATAAGAAATTTCAAAGTTGGCCGCCATTTAAAAACTAAAATCATATTTTTAACTGCCACAAAAAAATAAAGGAATATCCCCCATTTAAAGTTTTCTCTAATTCTCACCGTTTCCGATATCCCAATGGTGGCCTCCTTGAGTTGATCACCCTGTATATGCTAATACCTGTATATCCCTAAGACATTAAAGCTAACATAAGTTCAATTAAAAACTTACATTTCAAAGTGCTCATGAAATCCTATAAGGAAAACATGAAGTTCCGAATAAAAATGACACTATGCAACGCACAAACATCTACACAACAACACACAACTCTGTCTGTCACAGTGATAAACCAACACCTGCTGCTTATCAAATGACAAAGCCTTATCACGTAACAATGCTAAGTCTGTAAAATGATAACACAAACTTTAGCTTAAGTCGTCTGTAGAACATGTGACTCTATAAAGTGGCACTTAATTTTTATACAACCTTAATTTTTTGGAGTCTTGGTTGCACTTTCTGCCATTAGATGTTCAGAAATAAATAGAGCTTGAGGAAATGGCTATATGTAATTGGTCTTGTATGTTTTGACGTTAATTTTCTCATGAACTGGTTCCGTTATGACTTCGTCAGCTTTTATTGTGATAGTTCAAAGATAGGGTAGCTCTAGAGCAATTTCAATGGGTTCGTCAAGCACGACAAAGCATGGTTCTTCTACCCCTCTAATATTTTGGACGTTTGCATTTGTATATCCCGGGGAAGAATGTTGCCTCAATTCTTCGTAGAGGCTAACGTATTTGTTTCGTGTTTTGATGAGTTTTCTCACTTAAAACCAAGATATGAATGTAGTGAGATAGATCCCTCTGATATCCAGCATAATCCATGATCGATTTTCGTATACAGTGTTCTTAGTACTTTAATTTGAATCAAAAGTGATGCGTGCTCATAAACACTTAGTTCTTAAAGCTGATTCGCGTTCTCACCGTGATTAAAATCTTTTTTGTCTTCACCAGTCGTCAAGGTCTCTCCTTTCACTACACATAAAATGGAGTGAATACTGAGACAAATATATTAATTTGTTCTTCTCATATTATGTATTATAATATATTATTTTTGTTTGTTCTTCTCATATTAAATTGGTGGGCTTGGACCTCAAAAAAAAAAAAATACTCATCTAGGAAGGGAGTATAAGATGTCCTAGTCAATAGCATAGTATTTTATTGAAGTTATCTGACCATCGAGATAGCTTCCCAGAGGGCGTCAAACCTTTGCTTGTAACGAGGACAGCTAACCCCTGAATTTATTTAAACTTTTATTTCGGAAGTCTTAATTGATATTACAGGTGCTACACGGTATTTGACAATATAAATAATTAAGAGCTATGGAAATTATTATATTGCATACAAATTCTGAACGTTTACCGTCACAGAAAGGACCTAATGACAATAAAGACCGTAAAGTATAGCTTTGAAAGTGGAAATTCGTTAAAATTCTACTGATTAAGCCCCTTCCTATACGGGGAAGTGTGGTAAATCCAGAAAAAAATGAGCATTATCATAGATAGCAATAAAAACACATAGACCTTTCCCTTTTTTACGACGAGAAAATTACTAAAAATCGTTAACGTTTTAAAACAACGATGAAAGCGATACTAGTTTGCATAATCGTTCCATATCACTCTTGCACTGTTAAACTTTAGATTCAGGGGAAAATAACATCTTGCTACCTAGTGAGGAACTAAAAATAATGTTGAAGTACTGTACGACTTTCTTGACAGTACTACTTACCAGCAAACACTTTTAGTCTTTGTTACAAACACATGTTTTAATAAAATCTGTCATCATTCATCATTCATAAAAATGGTCAACGTTAAGACATTAAATGTCGTGTTGAAGATTCATTTCTTACAAACGAGGTAAGGCTTGTGGTATAAAATATGTTTGGAGAGGAAGTGAAAGCCAGTTACAAGTTTTCAACATCCATTATGTCACTCTTTGAAACAACTTTATAATTCAGTTCTAAGTCGTTGTCATATTTCATACTCATCATTTGCAATTTTTTTACCAAGTTCAGCAGTAGGAGTAGTTGAAAAGGCAATTTAAAGGAATTAAATAGTATTACAGTAGACAGGGTATTATATTTAAAGAAATTTACAATGTAGTGCAGAGTGTAATATTTCTAAGGTAATTAGAAACTCATGATTTTGCTACATAGGAAATATTTTGCTTGAGGAAATATAGTTGTAACTTTTTATTCTTTTGTGAGTAGTTAAACACTGTTACTAATTAAGTGTACATTTTGGCCTATCTATTATTTTTTCTTATGAATAATAGCTAGGTTTGGGACTGCTTGATCATTAGGTAGGTTGTATATTTAAAATTATAGAAAAGTAAACATCAATATGTATATATTTTTAAGGCATTTTTTTGTCGATGAGCCGATTGAGAAATCTAGTATAGTGTGTTCTTACGAATAACTTGCTCATTTTTAACGACAAAAAACAAATATATCACCGAAATTGGTTCACAGAAAATGTTTAAGACAATTCATTTTACCCTAAGTTCAGCAAAGACCATTCGTACCGAGATTTACTGGAATACCACAGGAATGAGAAGTAGGGTTTCATTGATCTTTGGAAAAATACCAAATGTTTGTTAATATATTTAGACATATGGCTATGTGTGAATGGAAGAAACCACCACACACACAAAAAAATACTTAGATAGGGCAAAACTATTATATTGCCCACCCTGCGAAACATCCTGGAAAATTGGTTATTGAGGGATGCATATAACCTTTTTATTATATAAAAGTTTTAAACAATAGAATGAATAATTATTCTTCATCCAGTAGTGAAATAATATAATACTTACCTTTGAGTTAACCCGATCAACTGGGTTTTATTTAGAGCACAGTAAACCTGGAAAGCAATGTTTCAAACGTAGACACTTGTACTTGTCCAGTGTATAATCTAGCTACAGTTACCGGTACTCTGTTTTCTTGCCTGTCAAGTTCAACTTAGTGTAAGTTTTATTGGCAGTAGATTTACTAACAGTTCCATTTAAAAAATACGTTTCCTTAATTAATCCTTGCATTGAAAATAATCTAGCTTCTATACCCTACTACTCATTTTTGTTTAAGAAAATACTTTAAAATGTATAATTCCAAAATTTACCTACGGTTGGATTAGCAGGCATGAACATCATTAGCAGTGCATGAATAAAATGTATTATTAATTTGAACAGTGAGTAGAAAACTTATTGAACAAATTTAATTCGTAACTATTAAAGATTAATAGAAGAGCTTCATGTAATAAATAAATATCTTGAAAAGAGTTAGTAAATATGTTATTAACAGTAACGTGAAAAAGATATGATAAATATATACAAATCAGCATATATATATATATACATATATATATATATAATGTTTGTAAAATAAGTTAGGTAGTTAATTGTAAAATTCAATGTTTCGTAAACAATCACAACATTTTTAAATGACTTCATGTTTTAAGTTTCTCTTTAGGAATGAGAAAAGGAATTTAAAATATTCAAAAAAATTTCTGTACATAACGCATTATTTAATACCTACCAATTTAGTCTCTATAGGCTTAGCCATAAAGTTCTATAGTTTTATAAACATTCTACATGAAAACATCTGTATGCTTTCAATGTGAAAACATAGGTTGCTACACTATCTTTCCCGTAGGTGTAACGTATGTGATATATTTAGGTTATGACAGTAAAATTAAAAGCCTTATAAAAAAAATTACAGGTGGTCAGTACATTAATTTAAGTGTTCGGTCAAATAAAATGGCATAAAACACACAACATTAATAACTTAAAACTAAAAAAAATACTACAAACCTATAAACAAATAAAGGTAAGAACATTACAGCAATCCTGGTTTTGAAAATCATGTTAACTACTGTTGGAAGAAGTACGGTATCGTAAAGAACTAATAATTAATAAAATATTATATGAACCAATAGGTAAACATTTTTTCTTGTCAATTGCCCAATGTTAGACAACGGTACGTAATTATTGAATTGTATTAAAAAAATTCAGATAAACCTAGCATAGTTCAATCGATCTGTTTTAAATATAATTTAATCGATGGCAATATTACAAATCAATTTATGTAAAATATAATATTTGTATACAAATGGATTTAATAAATATGTACATTTTGTGAACATTAAAAAAATCCAACAAATGAATCAGTACATTCTACGAATATTTTTTTGTGATTTAACTCTTACTCTCACACAACCATAGGGTGAGTTTTTTTACCAACTACTTCTTATCAAGTAACACGCTAAAAAAATTCTTAACTACTTTAGTTGACGATTTGTCACAAAACTGTCAGCTGATTTATTGGTGCATTCCTCTGAAGACTCTTGACAGATCCATAGATGTAGGATAGCGTCCCCCTCCATTTATCTGTGAAGCTGAAGGGTTGATGATAGACGCCCACTTGCCCTCCAGGGTTGCAGACTCTCCATTGGCCTCCATCTACCCAAACCTCACCGTGCTTGTATCTGTCTCCTCCGACCCGGCACATACCTGAAGTAATGGAATTTACATAGAAAAATCATATATAAACGGCAAGTATGTTTCTTTTAAACCTTTTTTCTCAGCTTATGTGCATCACAGAGAAAACCTATGCATACTGTTAGAAAGATATTTTTCCTGTAGATATTCAGAATCTGTTTATAATTTAAAATAGGTTACAAAAACAAACAAAAATGCATACACATGTTTTAAAGTTAAAATGGGCCTTTTGGGTTGTCGTTCTGGTGACGAAATGACATTTAAATATGAACAGAAAATAATAAAAATGCTAGAAATCTAATCAAATGTTTTATTTACAGCGTGGTGTGAAAATACAGAAGTCTGTAGCCTATTTTCGGTAAAACTTTTTCCCACTGGATGACCTTTAGTTATAATAAATCCATATATATAATATGTTAAGGTGATTTCTTATACTCCTCCTGTTAATATTTGAAGGATTTTTCACAAAAGATAAGTCAGTCTGATGTTCTTTTTATGTTGACACCTTGTTTAACCAATTTATGTAACATAATTAATTGGGCCTTACCCCATATGCCTAAAAAATACAGTGCATTCCTGACGAAGAAGGATTTATTTACAAAACAGAAGGATTTTTAGTAATAGTTGCATCCTAAAACAGATTATTAACAATATTAAGACACGTGATTACTTAGCGCCGAGGAAACATATGGCATATGTTTCCATATTATTATTGACAATAACAACAAGCTCCTTGTTGTTGGAAACAATATAAACAATA